GAAACCAAACAGCTGGACACATTTTCCAGCCGCTGCTCGCCCACCGTGCAGGAGCGAGGGAGGGAAGGTGGGTGGGGGGGGCAGCAACACATAAAAAGACAGTTTGCAAATATGTGAAAAAAGCTCATCCACTCTCTCTCTCTCTCTCTCTCTCTCTCTCTCTGCTCCTGCCGAGCCTTCAACTCACACTTTGTAAAAATGAAATCCAGACTCACATTCTGCTGCTCAGGGCATCGATGGGACGTCCGAAGTGCGGCACCGGGGAGCAGAGCAGGAAGAGAGCGAAGCACCACTGCTGCAGGAGCCTCCTGGAGCAGAACATCTCTGAGGAGAAACACAACCTGAGCTGAAGATTCACAAGAGTCCAACAGCTTTCAAATCAAAGCCTCACTAAAGAAACCACAGAAGAAGAAGAGCAGGCAGAAGGAAACTTACTTTCCCTCAGAGTTTGTCCCAGATCAAAGAGATCAAAACATTTATTCACTGTCCTTTTTCAAACGTTCCACCTCGACTCAGAAAATCCAGGTGAGGACGAGGAAACAAAAATCCCCACGAGCCCGAACACATCCAGAGCTTTTTTCTTTAAGTTCCTCAGAGAGAGAATTCCTGAGCGTGAGCGAGGAGCTGGTCCAGACGTCCTGCGGAGGAGGTGATGTCACTGCAGGAGGCGGCTGCTGCAGGTCGGGCTGATGGAGACGTCTGCTGAGATGTGAGCAGGTCACAGAAGAGAAGGGGAGGACTGGGGAACAGAGGACGGCCTCCGTCATGACTCTGCCCACATCAGGAGAGTGAGGAGGCAGGAAGGTGGCGCTAGAGCAGCGCCTGCAGCTCCACCACAGACCACACGATGAAGGGGAGACGCTCTGGTTCTGTCTCTGACAGTTTATCTCCTCATTCAGGTTCCACCTCAGAAACAAAACTTCTTTCCTCTGACTCTGTAGTTTGAGCTGAAGTTCATGATCGACATGAGTCTTTGAAGGAAACAGGTTTGTGCTCAGTGACGTGTTTCATCATCTGGAGATAATTCAACTTTGACTTTTCTTGATTCAACACGTGAACATATAACAAGTGTGAATATTAAATAATAAATCAAGTTGTTCACGATAATATTCAAACTAACGTGAAACTGCAAACGATCATTCTTTTCTCACTTTAATGAAATATGATAAAATGTTGTTTCAGTTTATGAGCGTGAAAGATAAAGATGGACGACAGAGTACAGGTCATAAAGCCTCCTCCTCCATGTTAGCAGACGTGACATCAAAACCGCAAAATGGGCTGAGACGTCCTGACTGGTTGTGTATGGGCGGGGCCTCGTGAACGTCTCGCTGAGGGCGTCGTGTCACAGACTCAGATTATTTCTGTCGGTAGATTTTTAAAGATCTGTTTGAAAAACACTGAGACATGAATCTATTGTCTCCCAGAGTCCAACTGTCCTCTTCTCCTGTCTCATTCTGTCAGTCGTCGACTCGTCACTGTGCTCGGACCTGGAGGTGTTTCCTGTCCGAGGCGCGGTGACTGTCGGCCATCGCTGGCCTTTACCCGCTCACTGAGGAGTCAGGTGGTCCGACCGCAGGTACGACGCTTGGCCGGAGGTGATGAGGTCTGACAGATGGGTTCAACGTGTGACATCACCAAGCTCCGATAGTGACATAAGAAGAAACTGTATCTCTCGTGTTTCAGAGAAACATCTCGTGTTTCAGAGTGAGACCCCTGATCACTCTGGATCCTTCACTCTGGATCATCTCATCTGACGGTTAAACGTCTTTCTAACATCTGCACATCAGAGGATGTGAAGCGTTGAATCATCGGACTCTGCCTCCGTCTTATAATTAACATCTTTAACTGTAACACACTCGGATCCTGACAGGAGTCTAATCTAATCTGATCTAATCCCATTAATCTGAAGGCGTTAGCAGCGACTCTGGGTGGAAACATTCCTGATGTGGATCAAACGACCACCAACCCTGTCACGTCCTCCTGTGTAAACTCTCACTCGCTCTCTTTTCATCAGGAGACTCCTGTCTCTGTTCTACGACCATTAAAATACTCATCTATGACATCAGCGAGACTTCAGTCGACATCCACACTCCTGTGAGGTCACAGTGACCTTTGACCTCTGAATTCTCATGACTTCCTCTTTGAGTCCGACTGAACGTTTGTGCCAAAGCGTCCGACCGTCCCTCCCAGAGCTCGTGACGTATCGTGTTCACGACGACGGGACGGACAGCGTTCCTGTTTCAGCTGCTGTTTTCTTCAGAAAGTGGAGACGCGTCGTCTTTATTTAGAGTCTGAGGTGAAACTCTGGGGAAACACGTGAGTTCAGATTCAGCATCTAGGGGGCGCTAACAGGACCTTCAACTTTAACCTGATTCAAACCAGATGACACCTCGGAGCTGTTTCCATGGTAACTGAGCAGCGTGTACAGGAAGGCCCATCAAATCCATCGTTTCACAGAATTCTGCATCACGAGATTTCAAAATCCTTCACATGAAGCTCGTCTCCACACGCGTGACGTGTTGATGCCGCACGCTTGAGTAAACATTTTCTCCCACTAATGATTTCCACACGTCTTTTTTTTCCAGCCTGAGATAAGAGCTGCGGAGCCGAGCTGGTTTTTCTTCGGGCTGTGAATCGAACGACAGCTGGAACAGATTTCTGATATTTCAACACGCGTCAGTCACAAACTGCGGCTTCGTCCTCGTCTGTGACTGACGGCTGTTTGCTCTGCAGAGTGAAGACGAGCGGAGGTTAAACCAGGAAACGCTTTTTACTCTCAGTCTCTAAACAAACATCATCATCAACATCTGACTTCTGATGATTTCACTGACTCCTGCAGCAGAGTCAGGGAGCGGCTCCTCCAACAGCCCCGAGGCCTGATGGGTAATGACCATGAGATATATGGAGATCAAACTCCAGGTTCTGATGTCCTCTGTCCATCTACCTGCCCCCCCCCCCCACATGTGGAGCTGGAAAGAACGACCTCAGCTTCACCTGCACGTAAACAGGTAGAAGAAACAGTTTCCTGGCAGCGGCCCGCGGGTCGGAGCCAGGAAACTGTTTTAGATTCATAGAAAATTGCAGCTTTTTGGCAGAAGTCGACAAACACAAAACAAATGTCCGCTTTTAATCTGCGCGACCGCACCCCCCACCTCCGCTGCCTCCTTTTGAAAACCATTCTCCACACAAAGGCCGGTACTGTTAGAGCCCCCCCACATCAGTGGTCCTGACGGGGCCACGGCTCCGTGTGAGGCCCCCACACCGATACCAGGCCACCCCCCCCCCGGCTCACAGCTTGTTCTCTTTACCAGGTCGTCACCAGAAATAAAGTCCACAGATCTGACGCTCGCCGAAGAATGTGACCTTTAAAAAGACAGCACGTCCTCCGCTGCTGCTTTTCAATCCAACTCAAGCTGTTAAAGGTCCGAGCAAAGATGACGACGCGACGGCCAACTACAGTGAAGACGAGATGAGGCCCCCTGCTGTCTGGCTGCAGCACAGGTCACAAACCTCCTCCATGTTAGCAGATGGGACACGGACCACGAGTTAGAGTGGCTCCACAATCACTACAGCACAGAATCCAAGATGGCAGCGTTAGTATCCGATATATTTGTTGTTGCCGCTGATGGATGATGATGAAGATGAAAAGACTCCTCTCTGTCTCTCTCTGGCCTTCCTCCTCCTCCTCCTCCTCCTCCTCCTCCTCCTCCTCCAACTGATTTCAGGAATGCATTTGTGCTTTTCTGCATTCCTCCAGGACAGAAACATTTCCCTCCGTCTCCCTCACAACTTGTTTCAGTGTGATTCTCATGAAACACCACTCGCCCACCACAGGAACACATGCTCCTCCACCGCTGTTTGACCACAAATAGAAACCGAGAGGAGCTGAAAACGACTCGGAGCAGCAGCCGACATATTTTCCGGGTTTTTTTAACCAGCTTGACCTTGTGACCATCTGACTTAATATGAAAAGTGCAGCAGCGTGTTCACCCCGAGGTTTGAGGTGGTTTCACTCAGTCGTGACGGACTCAGACTGAAATATGATGTTTACTCTACGTCCTAAAGTT